CTGAAAACCCAAAACAAAAAGTCAAAAGTTTATCTTTTAACTACTATTTTTTTGGGCACTGGTCAGGTGACCGCGGAAGCCACGTTTTTGAACAAGGGATAAAAACCACAGACATACGCAATAAAGGTGAAACAATGGTTCCAGCACTGTTTCTTTTTGTTTGGTTTTTAGCAACTCATACAAATTGTCAAATACTCTACTAAAACAAAACATGTTTCTTTTGTTTTCTGTTCGAGTTGAGTATTTTAAAAGTTAAAAGTAACGCATGCTTAGTTGTGTCTCTTAAAAGATGTAAAAAATAAAGTTTCTCAAACCCAACATTAGTGAGTTTCTCAATCATTTTGGTAAAGTAGTGAGCTTTTACTGGAACGGGATGTTTCAGTCGACTAAGACATTGCCCGTGACAAGATCAATCTTGTTTGTATGCTGTCATTGTTATATCTATTTCTTGCATAATAAGTAAATGGACCAATATCAGCAACAAAAATGAAAATTCCAGAAACGATAAACTTCTCGTGAAACTAGAAATAAGAGTTCGATGATGAAACCCTAAAACTGGGATCGTCCTAAAAGCATACACATCGGCATGATTGCCATTCTTTTTGTACATGTGAAGGAAACTCTAAAATCCTCGCCATTTTCTTTACAACCATTCTCTCTGCCTTTTTTTCACTCACTCTCATCAGCCTAAGGGGGGGATGTCTAGTTATATGTATAGTAAAAGCGGTAAGAAACTACACAATGTACAGATTTTGCGGAGAACAAACAAAGCTCTCTTTCACAATTTCCCGCAGATTTTTGGTTTAGATCTTACCTAATTCTCAACACACTATGGCAGAGCCATCCACCCTAGTTAAGCTGTACAACACTTGCAGCTTTACGCCACCTGAGGCTGGTTTAGGGACTGCAAACTTCTCCTCTCTGCATATAAGAAATAAAAAAAAAACACTTAAGAGACATTGAAATGCCGTAGGAATACTCTAGTCTCTCTTTTCAACCAAGAAAGGCAGATAAAGGCTAAAAAATTGAACCTATAGAAGATAATGCACGTGTACATACCTCCAGCAGCAACAAGTTTTTCAACACGGGCAACGATATGCTTTCCGTAAGTGTATTTCTTTAAAGCATCAAGATGCACTTTAATACGAGTAAGTATCAGCTCGCGCTGTTGGTCATCGCAAGTCTCCAGAACTTTTTGCACCACATAGTTTGCAAACTGATCCTTCATCATCGCCTATACACAAGAAGAAGAAGAATAGAAAGCATATGAGCTAATTTGTTTCTTTACTTTCCCCAACAAACATCTAAAAGTTTGTGTTTGACAAACCTGAAGAGGCTCGTTTTCATCAGTTGTGCCCAGCATCTCATTCACGAGCAATTCCCGTTCCTCTGGACCTCCAAAAGTCAAACATTTCTCAACAACATTTGACGCAAACTTTTGCTGGCTCATCWGAACAATCTTCCCCGCTAATTCTGTGATTATCACAGTACGCTCATCAGGCTTTCCATGCTCCAGRACATGCTGTCCAAAAAACGWGTATCAGTTTTGAGCAAACAATATYAAAATCYCCAYTTGCAGAAAAASTCAATACTTTTTACGAACCTGAATAACATAGTTTCCATACTGATCTTGGGCCAGCATACTAACAGTGGACATGATTTCTTCCATAACCTTACTCTGTGTATCCGGGTCATGGCAGTGCTCCAATACCCTCTGCAGCAATAGACGAGAAGAAAGTTTTATACAGAAGAATAAGATCCAAAACTGTGTCTTCTTGCTTTATTAGGAAGAGCAAAAACCTGAATAACACGGCACCCATATGGATGAGTTGAGAGGGTCACAACTTGACCAAAAAAAGTCGAAATAATAAACTCGATGTTCTCTTCAGGCACACATTCAATGCACTTTTGAACGACATGGTTCCCATTCTGATCGCGTACGCATCGCATCACATGTCCATCAAGTTCTTTAACCATCTTAATTTTCTGGTCTAGATCAACCACCTCAATTGCCTACAAATGAAAATAACGAAACTGTAAAATAGATTACAAAGAACAGTAAAATAAATGAGAATTATAATTTACCTTCTGGATGACACGACAACCATACATCTGTAAGCTAAGAGGCAAAACATTGTTAAAGAGCTTCTCTGCCAATTCTCTCCTCTGTGGTGGTAGTCCGTGCTCAAAGAACTGTAGAAAGATTAGGATACCCAAGAATCTTTCATGTAAAAATGTTGAAACTACCCAAAAAACATAGAAGAAGATTAAATTACCTTCTGAATTACATAGTTTCCAAAAACATCAGTCATCAGGGCAAGAGCTTGTGGCATGATCTCCTCATAAACCATGTTTTTCTCATCAGTTGTTGCTGTCTCGAGTTTCTGCTGAATAAACCGACTCCCATATTGATCCGCACTGGTTGGTCGCAAAAATACAAGTCAGCTAGGGACAAATGGTACACAAGAATAAAGGTAAAGACTTTTGAGGAAATACCTGAACTCTACAACGTGGCCAGCTATTTCAGAGAGTTCAAATCCTCTTGTTTTGTTACTTTTGAACTCTTCGAGCAATGAAGATCCAAAGCCTTCATCCAAACTACCATCCATGTGCCAAGGACCCATTACCCCTCCCGAATAGTTTCTTGTTGCAGAGGGATATCGCATATTAACTTCACCTCGTCTCATAGGACTACAAGGTGCCACAAGAGAATTTGGCATGACATGATGAGCCAAGGGGCTACCAAGATATGACATGTTAGACCCAAATGTTGGGCTCCCATAATAGCTATGGCTGTTAGGGCTCCCGGATTTGTAAGGGAGGCCATACTGTGATTTCTGAGCTCCGAGATAAGCCATTTGCAGTTCGAGCATATTCATGTATGAAGGATCATTAAGAAGATCACGCGAATCAACATTTTCAGAGAACCTTGGATACTGATGATACATTGGGTCAGCAATATGTGAGTGAAGACCAGCAGCTCCTCCCATTATTCGATTACTGAGCCTGCCAAGATTACGTGATTCAGAGAAGTTTTGACCAGAAGATAAAAACCCTCCCCCATGAAGTCTGGAGTCCATTCCAGAAAATCCCAAAGCAGATGCTGCAGAAACATTTTCATACGTTGGTGAAAAGTTATTAGTCCCAAGTTGGCTAGCCATCATAGAAGCTACAGCTGGATTTAACGCGTAATTGTTCGGACCATAGTTTGGGCTATCGAGATGCTGGTAAGGACTAGCTAGTCCACCTCCACCATTATAGGCAGATCCTTGGGACCCTCTCAGCTGTGGATTCCTCCACGAACCAGTTCCCTTATGGGGTTGGTCAGATTTGTTAGGGAACTGGTCTTGTTGATTGAATTCGTTATGCCCACCTTGCAGTCCAAACATATAGTTCCTAACCTTCTCAACATCCTGCTCTGCCTGACCCCGCTCATCTAACCTGCCGCTGGCTGACAGGTTCATGCCAGATAAAGCAGCAGCAAGATCAGAAGACTCGTCCAGACCAGATGCAACACCGTTGAATGGGCTTTGATTACTTGTGTTCCTCTTATCATTTGAACTCACCCTTCCACTCCCAATGGGAGTAAGGCAGGGACTAGGTACCCTAGCAATGGCCTGTGGATCTGGAGTTCCCGTTCTAGACAGTGAAGAACCCAGAACAGCTGCATAGCTGTACGGAGATGGCGCACCAATGGCTTGTGATGCAGATGGAGACTGATTATTTGCGGACTCGACATTTTCATCAAAGGCATTACGACTTGCAGGACGTGAGGGCTGCTGTGCAACGGGATGCCCCATGTCAGCCTGCCAGAAGCAATCAAGTAAGTTTACATAAACAAGAAATATTAATATACACAACACATAATGAATCATAGTTTATGCTCGAGTGAATATGCTTTTGTGGATTCTAACAATCTAATTTCCTTATGAAGCTCGAGTGAATATGTTCCACCAACCTGAAAGATATCAGCAAAACTCTTCTGTTTGCCTCCGAGACCCAAACCCGGCAAACCGATAAGTCCATTAGCATCCCACTCAGAAGAAGAAGCACTAGTTTTCTTAGGCTCAAAGTCCTTCTGCTGCTTCATCTGCTCAAAACCAGGCGGCATAGAGAACAAAGATCGACTATCATTCACTTTTCGCCTATCCCCGATACCGCCTAACACGGTGCTAGACCCTTTAAGCCTCTGAGCAACCCTCAAATCCTCCCTAGACAACAAAGGAGGAGGCAACCTCGGATTCAACTTCATATTAGCATAGTAATAAGACAAGTAATCTGGATTTTTCCTATACTCATCGTCCTCCAAGCCAAACCCATTTGCCTTATTGGCTCCACCAAACTCCACAAACGGAGCCCCACCTCCGCCGCTGAAAAAGCCTCCGGCAGCACTAACAGAGCCGTCCACAGTCGGCGGAGCAGAGCCGCTTCTGTACAAGTTAAGCTCTCGCTCGATCTCATCAGCTTCTTCTTGCCGTCGTTGCTGGTCGCTGAGCAATACTCCAAGCTCTTTCTCGTAATCATCCCCAAAAGAGGACTCCTCGTTACCTCTATGCATCGGCCTTCTTCCAAGTTGCGGTATCATTATTATCAATCACCTAGCAACAACAAACCCAATAATCAAATATGAGATTATGGTCATATGGTAAACACTTAACGAATCATAAAAATCAAACCTTTATACCTCAATATATACAACAATCCCCAAAATTCTCTAGTAGAAACTAATCCAAAGATCAAAACTTTAGGCGGTACTCAAATCCGTTCCTGAGATTTAACGATGATTGATTTCATGTCACTGTAGTTTAACTTAAGAAACCCTAACAAACGACAAGATTGAGAGAGATGGGAAAAATTGTGCTCTACGGGGAAAATGGGTTTTATAGTGTTGACGGTAAAATCCGACGGCGATGCAAGAAGGTTAGGGTTTTTGTGCCATTTAAACTATGGAAATTTAAAGAAAAAAGAATTAGTAGGATAATTTTGGTTGTTTAACAAACTGAAAATGTGGAA